AAGAAAGGAGGGAGAGGGAGGGAGAAGGAGAGAGAGGGGGAGAGGAGAGAGAGGGGGAGAGGAGGGGGGAGAGAGGGCAGAGAGGAGGGGAGGGGAGGGGGAGAAGGAAAGAGGGAGAATTCGAATCGGGCTCTCGTAAAACCTAATTCCTAAAAAGCAGCTGTCAGGAGTGGCCAAACTCAGTTCAGCATCCACACTTTCAAGCAACCTCTGGCAATTCCCCAATGCCTGTGCAACCCCTTAGCCGCCAATCACTTTGTCCTGGGGGGGAAGAGGAGGAAGGGGGCAATTAGCTGCCATCTCAGTTCCACATAACACCCCAGAGTGAAGCTAGATCCAGGGCTGGGAGGGGGGGAGTAACTTTGCAGCGAGATTCGGCTGCGGAGAGGATCGGGCTAGCCAAGGTTCCTGGGCAGAAGCTGGAACTGCTCCTACTGGAAATTGTCACACGCCAGGGAGGAGAAGGATCTGAGCCGGTTGCAACGTCTCCGCTGAAGCCCAGGGATCCTTACCCAGAGAGGCCACAATCCCATAATTTTCCGCCATGACCTCCCGGTACAGGGCTCGCTGGCCCGGATCCAGCAGCATCCATTCCTCCTCAGTAAAACTCACAGCCACTTCTTCAAAGGTCAGAAGCCCCTGTTAAGCGGAGAAATAATTCCCACGTTGATTCCCATTCGGCATTTAGTTCTTTCATTCGGTTTGCGCTTATGTCTCAGTGCAGGGCCAGATCCATTCTTCCCCTTAACAAAAGGCCTGGCCTGAAAGCGAGTGACTGACCCAAATCCCACCACTGTTTCATTCAACTAAAAACCGGCTCTCCCACCAGGGTTCTAATACCATAATATGGGAATTTCGTAGCTCTAATTCAGCAGCAAAATGGCCAAATTTGAGTAGTATGAGTTCAAGCTGTGGGGTGGGGGTGGGGGTGGGGGGTGTCTGGGTAGGGCATGTTCCAAATGGGCTCTACGGGTTTAGCCACGCCCCTTCTGATGATGTCACTCCAGGGGCCAGAAGGCAGAGCTCAGAAGTTGCCCACAAGTGCTCTAAAGCGGGATTTTTAACCTTGTTTAGCCTCTTAGCTAAAAGAAAATTGCCCATAATCCTTGGCCTGCAGAATGGTAGTCATGATGCATTTTTTTTGCAGGAGAACAAGCCCTGCCCTTTGATTTGATTTTTTTGCTCTAGTTTCTCAGGAACCCCACCACGTTTTTGCAGAACCCTAAAGTTCAGTGCTGCATGGTTTGAAAAACCTTGTTCTGAAGCTTCCCACCTCCAGTATATATGATAAGATGTATACCTGGGTGAGCAGCCTGGCAATCATTCCTCTGTTACTACAAAAACACCTTGGTTCCAAGTCTGTCTGAAGAAGCTCTGCAGGATCTAAGAAGGAAGCAGGCATTTACATACATACATATGTTACATTTCCCTTCCAGGGGGAATAGATGCTGGGGGTTACCTAGAAAGCCCTATTCAGCTTGGGTTCTCGTGATCTTCAGTCTGCTCCAGATCCAATCTGTCCGGCCTACCCAGGTGGGGACCCTGTTGAAGGCCCCCCCAGGCTATCAAGGGGCCTGGAGGGCAGCCTTCTCAGAAGCAGCCCCTCCCTTTGGAATAACCTGCCCCTACATCAGGTCGGTCCCCACCTTTCTGTCATTTAGCAAAGAAGAGAATATGTGTAGCTCAGAGTTGAACTGTGGAGTCCTTGGGGTTTTCTGAGCTTGGCTGCTTTCTTGCAGACGTTTCATTACCCAACTACGTAACATCTTCAGTGCTAGAAGGGAGTGGGGTTTGTTCTCTGTTTATACACAGTACTTTGCTAT